CTGATCACAACATGTTATTCCATCAAGATTTTCGTGCAATATCCTAATGGTTACAAGCTTCAACAGTTCTTGCACTCCATGATCAAACTCCATGAAAGCTCTCCAAACTTACCAAACTCAGTCATCTACCCTACCTTAACCTTTCTATGCTATCAAAACCTAGCAATTCTAACCAAAGCATGCAATTCGAATGAAAACTTACTTGGTTCACAATGAAGAAAACAGCTACCAAAACCTCTGGATCCAAAGCTTGAAGTGATGGAAAACTGGTCAATGAACTTGATGATGACTTCTGTATACAAGAAATATGACTCAAACCTCTTGGATCTTGCAATTCCAAAATTTTTGCTTCTTGAATGGTGAACTTGCACAGATCGAATCCACCTCAATTCTACCAAATGATTGTATGAATTGTGATCTATGGATGATGATGATGAAGAACAGATCAAGAATGGTGCAAATTGGTGAAAGTTTGAGAGAATTTGGATTGATTTTGCAAATGAGAGAAAGTGTGTGAAACTTGTGTTTTTGAGCAAATGTGATCACCAACCATGGCATGAACCCTCTCCATCCAATATATACATGTCATTAGAACCTCCTAGAAACTTGGAGAAACTTCCCATGTGTGATTTCCCTTGGATTTGGCTTATGTTTCTTCCATGATAAGTAACCTTGAATAACTCCCAAAATGTGAACCAAGCTCAAAGTTCTACTTTAGCCAATGTTCTCAAAATGATCTTTCCATTCAAAATGACCTATAATTTCACCTCATTTGGCCAAAATATGAAAAATCTCATTTTTTAGGTCATTTTTATTCATTAAATCCAACAATTTTGAAACCTTGTGCTATGAATCTTTCCAATCTCTCATGGTCACTTTTATAGACTCAAAATGTCATTTGGAACAAGTTTTATGTTGTAAAGTTTTCCATTTGAAGCTTCCTTGTATGAGTTTTGGGCATAGGCTTGAAATGACCTGTAATTCTCAAATGACCAAAATACCCTTTGCTTGCCAAGACCATAAGTAGAGTTCCACAAATCATATGAAGGCATACTATACCATTCTAGAAAGCTAAGACAATGAGGAACAACTCTTATGTTGACCAGAAATACATTTGAAATCTCCTTGAGGGGTAAAAGTTGCTTGGAAGACAAGTAACTTTCACAGACAAAATTTCAGATACCTCAGATGACCTGTAACTTGCAAGGACCCTAACTTGAGTTCTATAAATCTCCTTTATGTCTTCCACCACTCAAATTAAAGGTCTTGAGATCATCTACAAGTTTCATGTTGGCCAAGGATCCATTTGAAGCTTGCATTTTGACTTATCTTACTTGGAAATTTGACCTAAATTAGGGGATTTTACACAGAAACCCTAATTTAGAAACTCCTCTTCTCCTTGATTCCTCTTGATTTCTTCTTAGCATAACAACATATCCTTCTTTACATGTCAAATGATGAACCCCACATCTCTCTAATAGCCCTTAATGCCCTTCAATCATTCAATTGACCTAGAGTTGACCCAGGATTGACTCAGATGAAACCCTAGTTGACTGTCTTCATCCATAACTCTTGTGACTACACCAATGACTTGTCTCCTTCTCCAAGTGACTTTCTAAGTCTCCCATGATGCCCAGATACTCTCCATGCTTCATTCACAGCTCACAACTTACTTATTGATCCCCAGATACCCTCAGTCAGGAGCTAGAAGCCCTGCTTGATCCATTGACTTCTCAGCTTTCAAATTCTTTCTGATGACTTGAATGAGATTGAATTAGAGTAATAACCTCTTGATAGGCTCATAGAGATGAGAATAATGCTTGGTCCCCTGTTGGATGACTTGCTATGCTTATGCTATGCAGATGAGTAGACTATGTACATGCAAATGCTAATGATATTGAAACCTAAACCAAGTGAATAAGGTTGAGCAAATTTTAGGGTGCAACACATAACATATCACAACATACAACTATGCAAATCAGAAAGACTGATCATACTCGAGCCGAACAATCAACGTTGGATGGAAACGCAACAAGAAATAAGAATGTTGTCACGTTTGCTACGCTACTCGCCTAGCGAGTCCTTGGCGAACACTCGCCATAGGTTTGCCTAGCGAACAAGCTCGCGAAGGGAGTCTGGGAGCTACTGGAAGTGCTCGCTACCTGCTCGCTTAGCGAGGTCCTAGCGAACCCTTCGCTACCTCACTCGCTACCAGCGAGATTGGATCATTTGGTTCTGCCCCAGTCTGGGACCGTTCGCTACTAGCTCGCTGCTGGCTCGCCTGGCGAATAACTCGCCACCCTGCTCGCCTAGCGAAGGTGCTAGCGAGTGTCTGCGTTGTTCAAAACGCTCAATTTCCAAAATTATCAGAAACTCATAAAATCGCCCGATTCAAAACCTACAAGTTCTAGTAGACTTAGCTCAACAATCCTCGACTAAACTACGCCATTTAATCCAACTTCTAACCGTTCAAACATCGATTTCTATCGATTAAACCCATTTCTGCCCTAGAATGGAAATGTAGAAAAACACCTAAACAATCCAAACAAGTCATACATAATCATATACATTGATAAGTTAATAAGATTTCACACCCTTACCCGATTAAATAGACTCCTAAGGGTTGATCTTGATGAATCCAAACTTTTCTCTCTTTTCTCTTCTTCCTCTTTCTTTCTCTCCTTTCCTTCTTTTCTTTCTATCCTTTCTTTTCTCTCCTCTTTCTCTTATATCTCTTTCTATTCTATTCCTCTCCATCATATTTTCTTCTCTCAAAATATCTACCCATTCATTTAAATTAAAGAAATCACATAAATCAATTAATTAACATAAATAATTAATTATTAAAAATTGGGCTGTTACAACTTCCATTGTATGGATTAAGGTGTTTATGATTTGCTCCGGTTCTTGTGTAGAATCGATCCTATTAGTGAGGATCTTTGGAGGGTGATGGCCCAGTGTCCATCAACGTGTTGATTTAGTACCACATGCATGAGTCTATATTGTTGCATTTCATGTTATGTGGCATTGCATCTATGTGAATGATTATTGTTATTGAGGTGATTTTAAAATGACGCGAGATGATGATGTGACTTAAGTGATGCTTTGGTGATGAGTTATTGATTAGATGACTTTATGAACAAAGATGTATATATGATACTATGATACTATGATACGAAGGTGTGAGTATAGTACTTGATAAATGATGATGCATGGATTTCATGATGATGTTTGTTTTGTATGATGAATGCTATCTTAATATATCTTATCTTTATATCTTGTACAATGATTTGTGATTACTCACCCTGCCTGTTTGAATGTTACCTCCACATGGGTAACATGCAGGTGATCAGAATTAGCTCTTGGTGCATGAAGAAATGACTTGAAGTACTTTAGTTATTTCTGTCGAGTAGAGGGTCTTGCTCTGATATGTAACGTCGGGCCGAAACATTTGAGTCGAATCGTTGTGTTCTTTTATTATTGACATCATGAATTTATGAGTTCTTGTTTTTAAAACATTTTGAATTACAAATTATGCTGATGATTTTGAATCTTTCCGCTGCGTAGTAATTGATTGAAATTATGATGAATAAAACTCGTGTTACGAAGTAAGACGTTATTGTGATTTTACGACGAAATGTGGCACCCTTGCGGTGATATACTCTGATATAATTGTTTTTAATTATTGTGAATGATTGTGGGGTAGAAGGGTGTTCTAAGAGCAACCCAAAGCCTCATCAATTTCTATAATAACATCATTCCTACGAAGAAGGAGGACAAAAACAGACCCAAAAATCAATAGTTAACTTGATAATTATTAATAAGGAAGGGAAGATAAAGGAAATACGAATCTCCAGAAACTTACCACAAGAAAACTTAGATCAATACAATGGCAAAAATTTGCAACTTGAAGGGGAGAATTACATAAGAAATAACAAGAAAAATTAGAATATTGTTATAATTAACAATAATTTGCGAGACAATAAAAATAATTCAAATGTAGATACTTATCACCAGAAAGCTAGTAACCCCCCAAAATCTTCACATCAAAGATAACGCTGAAAACACTAAAAAGAAGATATATAACGAAGATTAAAGGCAAAAACCAATTAAATGTTAAGCAAATAAATGACAAAATCAGAGAATTCCATAAGAAAAAAAGGAAACAATGATGTTATACCTTTGCGAAAGGGAGAGAAGCAAAATGGATATTCAATCACCAACACCTCAAATATTACTCGCAATGACAAATACTAGGGCACACATTAGATGAAGTATAAGGATGTGGATTCAAAGTAGAATACTCAGATTCCGAACATGTAAAATGGGAGAAAGAATGCAATTAACACGAATAAGAAGAATCATAATCAAACCAGTAACATGTAAATCATTTACGCCAATATGATTATGTCAAATAAAAAGAACCAACCTCTCTTTATTGACATTGAAGACAAATATTAAGTTAACAAAGTCTCTGATTTGAACATGCAAAGGAAGATCCAAGAGCCTCAAGAAATGAAATAGACGACTCAGAGAAACACAAATCACAGTAGAATTAACATGCAAAATAAAAAAACCGAGCAAACAAATCGCAAAAATAAATCGCAAACCTGACAATATAAAAAACAACAATCACCTTTACGTCCGTGATGTAGAAGATTAATCCAACGGAGAAGAACAATTAAAATCAATGTGTTAATTTGAAAAAAGTTATTTTTTTAATTAATTTTAATTATTTAAAGATTAAATTGATGAGAAAAAAAGAATAATTTATAGAATAAACTTAGTTTATTATTCTATATTTAACGATTACGCACGACACAAATGGAAAAAGAGTACTCGAAAGGAATCCCGCTACAGGCTAGTTGCTTCAAATACCCACACACACCGTGTCCTCGTTACTCAAACTAAACAAACAGAGTCTTTCTCTCTTTTCGCCTCTTGCGTCCCTCTTTCTCTCGCGCTCTCACTGCGTCAAAAACCACGAGAAGAGGAACAACATGCAGATCTTCGTCAAGACTTTAACCGGAAAGACCATCACTCTCGAGGTTGAGAGCAGCGACACCATCGACAACGTCAAGGCCAAGATCCAGGTTACTCTTTTTCTTACAAAATTATATCATCTAGTTAGGGTTTTCTTGTTAGGGTTTCTCGTGATTGCTGATCTTAGTTCTTTTTCTTTCTTTATTTCTTGCATACTCGATGTATTTTAAGGGTTCTATTCAATTCCGTGTCTGCTAGGTTTCAAAATTGAAATTATTTGTGTAAGTTCAAAGAAATAGTGTTTGTGTTAACTTAATTTAAAGAATAATATATGTTACAATGGTATGAAATGATCAATACTAGTGTTTGTGTAAGAGCAAAGATTAAGGACGGAACAACAATTAATTAAGTAAAAAAGTATTTATGTTAACTGACAAGTAAATGTTTAATTTTTTTATTGCAACAGTATAACGTGAGTAATATTTTTTGGACAAAAACTTAATTGATCTATGCTAGATGAATAACCCTAATATAAAAATACTTGGTAAATTTGTAAGAGCTTATTGCTTTAAATAGGGCCAAATAAACTGAAACTAAGTCATGGGGTATTTATCTGTGATATATATGCTGTAATAGTGATTTTTGTATGACATGGTGCTTACTGAGTTTGCATTGCATGTCACAGTATAAGTGGTAATGTCATTATGATTTATACACGGCATCATTTATTTCTAACTGCTGCAATTGAAATATGTGGTTGTAGGACAAGGAAGGTATCCCTCCTGACCAGCAGAGGTTGATTTTTGCTGGTAAGCAGCTGGAAGATGGCCGCACTCTTGCTGATTATAACATTCAAAAGGAATCAACACTTCACTTGGTCCTGAGGCTCAGGGGAGGAACCATGATTAAAGTGAAGACTTTGACTGGAAAGGAAATTGAAATTGATATTGAGCCAACTGATACAATTGACCGTATCAAGGAACGGGTAGAAGAAAAAGAGGGAATTCCACCTGTGCAGCAGAGGTTCTCTCTCTCATTTTATTTGGGCTTAACTAATTCTTTGCCAAATATTATAACTCTTAAAACTAAAACACGTCCCTTGCAAAACTCGTGTTTCTGATAATTTATGATTATATATTTGAATATTCTGTCAGTATTATTTTGGAAAATAGTATAGAGAAAATCCAAGCATTTATGTCATTGGTTCAGTTTTCTCCGCTCACTTTTAAAAGCTTACTCATGTAAGGCTTTGCTTGAGGATCACGTGGTCTGGTTAACTTGGTTTACCCGTAATCTTGTAGTTGTAAAATGATAGACATTGTACGGCTTTTCTAGAAAATAATTGTATCTCACTTAGTTTTTATTTGCCTATCCTCTGTATAATATGATTGTTGTACACTTCATCTAGGATTCTAGATAGGCATAAAATCTGAAGAATGTTGTGAAATGGAATGCTAAATATTCATGCATTAACTCATGCACCATTTGAATGAGCAAAGTTATTGGTAATATGATAGGTCTGTTAGTTAGGAGATTTATTTATTTAGTTAGGCGATAGTTAGAAGAAAGATGTGTTGCCTAAGGTAATAAGAGGGATTTGAGATGGAGAGTCTTTTGGCGAGAATTCGATCTCTCAAATTTCCAGGGTTTTACATACTGTGTATATTTTTAACACTCAATCTACACTAGTTTCTAGGTTTAGAAAAACTCTGTTTCTCACTGATATGATCAAAGAATAGCACATAGGTAGTATTTATGCAGATTTAGTTGGCCAATTCTGCTACAAGTATGTAAACAAGAAATACAAATATCCTACAAACCATTAGAGAAATAAGGAAATAGAAACATATAGATAAATTTTTTATATAAACTTGGAATTGATTTGATTCTTATTTATTTTCCCCAAACTAGTTCCTATGATTCTGGGAAAAATGCTCAACCAGATTTGATAACCCCTCTAGATGGTCTATAGAATATAGATATTTGTTATGCCTAACTTGATGTTCAATTAGAATAAATGGCACACACATAACTCCTCCAGCTATTGTAATGATCAATCTAGATTAGTAGCTAGCTGGAGATAAAACGACCCCGATCGTATTTAATTTTGCAGCTGGAACGGAAGGTTTCAAAATAATCAACTCGTAAGTTTTTGCAAATCCTTTGGCAACCAATCAATTCCTCTATCTTTCAGCCGTCTAAATATAAATTTCATTGTTAATACTCATTTGCATCCCACTGTACTTTTTCCTCTTGGTAGCTCCGTCATTTGCCACACCTGTTTTTGTTTTGTTTTTGAAGAGCCTTAATCTTTTCTAAGCTTTGTTCCACTCTGCAACTTCTAGGGCTTCTTGTACATATTTTGGAATCTCAATATATGACAGTTGTGAGGTGAACTTAAATAATTTCATGGCACAATTTGATAGGGGATGTTGGGCAGATGGTCTAACTCTTTTTTGCACACAGTGGTTTGGAGTTTTAAACAGGCCCACAAGCAACAACAACCAATCCGTATGAGAACTCAGGGGTTTTGAACTCTGTAGTTTTAGATTCTACAATGTGCCAAAGAAAGCAAATCCGCGCCAGTATGATTCTTTTCTGGTTCTAGCTCAAAATTGTTCAGCTCAGAAGGATGAAAACCATAATTTGTGATTATGAGAACTTTTAGTTTACTCATTTTCTCCATCAACTGTGGGAAGTATTCCATCAGCCATTTTTTAAAAGTATTTTTCTTCCCAGAGTTGTTAAATGGATAGCATGGCAGAATATTGTTGCGGATTTTTCGACAACCACCGTAGGGAATATTGTTATCCATGGGGGCACGCACCATAGGCCGAAATGACATGTTTATATGGGAAACTTTTGGCCTTGTGCCACCTGCCGCCTACTATATTTTCTCCATCAACTGTGGGAAGTATTCCATCAGCCATTTTTTAAAAGTATTTTTCTTCCCAGAGTTGTTAAATGGATAGCATGGCAGAATATTGTTGCGGATTTTTCGACAACCACCGTAGGGAATATTGTTATCCATGGGGGCACGCACCATAGGCCGAAATGACATGTTTATATGGGAAACTTTTGGCCTTGTGCCACCTGCCGCCTACTATATTGTTCTGAATAAGCTTACTCACTTTAATCAACTGAATTTATAAACATTCCTCAACACATAATTCTAGTATCCAGTATTTCAAGTGGTATCATAGGTGAAATTCACTCTACTCTTGCTACAAACTTCACACAAATTATTCTAGCATCCAGTTTTTCACAAACATCAGTATAGCTTTATACAACAACCACCAAGTCTTATCCGATTAAGTGAGTGAGTCCGGTTGCATGAATCAAATTTTGTTCTAATGTTTCATTCAATATCATGTTTCTATTTAATTTGTTAATTTTGAGATCTTTCTTAATAATTTCTCTAATAGTTTTTGTAGGCCTTGCTCTCCCTCTAATTGTTTGATTTCTCTCCATTTGATCTATTCTATTTACAACAGAATCTACAAATCCTCTCTCTTCATGCCCAAACCACTTAAGTATATTTTCTACCATTTTTTCTACTATATGTGCTATCCCAACACTTTTTAATATTGTCATTTCTAATCCTGTCATGTTCAATCTTACCACATATCCAACGCAACATCCTCATCTCTGTTACATTTTATTCTCGTGTTAATTTTTAATCACTCAACATTTTGTCCCGTGCAACATCACATGTCTTACCGCTGTCCAATAAAATTTTCCTTTCAAATTGGACCATACTTGTGTCACATAAAATCTCCAAGGTCCTCCTCCATTTCAGCCACCTAGTTTGAATTCGATGGTTTAGACTTTAGATCCCCTTTTATTTCTCCATCATTTTGTATTACATTCCCAATACACTTAAACCATATGATTTGTGGACTTATATGGTCTCCAACTTTCACCTTTAGGGTAGAAACACTTCTCTTAAATTCCATATACTATGTCTTTTGCTTAGGCGAAAACCATGTGTTTCTAAGGTTAGTCTCTAAGTCTCCAACCTCATTAAATTTTTTTTTTTTTTACTTTTAAAGTAGGATTATATCATCGGAAAAAAGCATACATCTATGTGCTATTGGATGTGCTCCCAGACTAATCTAAAATTACAGCAAAAAGGTAGGGCCACCTTGGTGCATCTTTATAGTAACACGTTTATGGTAACAGTTACCAGTTACTTTATGCAATTAGGAGTTCAAAATTAGAGAATAATTGATGGTTTGAAATTTGAATCTCATATAAGTAGTTTTGTTCTTTGCAATTTAACTAGTTACCTTGTCCTCAAGGTGAATGTTGGGTGGGGAAGTATTGATAATAGTAAGAGATTTATTTAGCTAGTTAGAATGAGATAGTAAGAAGAGGGCGTTGAAAGGGATTCATTTGGGGCTTATTACTTATTAAAAGAACTGTGACTAGGGAGTCTTTTATCTCTACTGTCTAGGAATATCCAGGGATCTATTTAACTGTCTGAATGTTTGTACACTCAATCTGAACCAGTTTCTACCATAGTGCATGATTTTCTTTGTCAGTGATATTTTTTATACAAGTTTCAATGAGTTGGATTGCATATTTTTTGGTAGATCTATCGAGCAATGCTTAATTACTTGATGTTCAAGAACAATACTGAATTTTGATTCTGACGCTTTAATCTGATGTTGAATTTAGTTTGCAGTCTTAGAAATAATTTCAACTTTCTTCATTTAAGCACTGTAGATGAAAAATTAAGATTTTTTTCCTTAATGATAACATTAGAATCTTACACCTTTTGTTACTTGCTGCAGGCTCATATATGCTGGCAAGCAGCTTGCTGATGACAAAACAGCTAAAGAGTACAACATTGAGGGTGGTTCTGTCCTTCACTTGGTGCTTGCATTGAGGGGTGGTACTTATTAAGGTAGAATGCACACCCTAATTCAAGAAATTAGCTTGTTCAGGCTTGGTCATTTTCCAGTTCTTGGTAAATGTTTGAATTGCTTCCGAACCTAAACATGAAAGGAAGCTCTATATCGTATGTCTCTGAGGACATGGTTGTTCTTTTATATGCTTGGTTTTTGTAATTTTGGGGATTTTATTGGTGGTCGGTACTTCTTGGTTATATGCTTTTAAACCCAAAAATTGGCAACTTAATGAAACTATAAAAAATAATTTATAACCACAGGCACAATGGTGAGAGTTTTACTCTGATCATGTGTGTAAGAGAGGTGAAAGTTTGATTGGTTTTAAAGCCAAGAGCACAGTGACGGTGGTATGGCTGGACTGGATTAATGGTCTAAGATAAGAGCTAAACGTAATTGTCAGACAGCCCAAATATGATGTCGTCAATAGTAATCGGGGAAATTTTGATATAAAACATTTCAATCTACAACTGACGATCAATCCTATATTAAGTTACATATTAAATGAATTTTATTTCTATGAACCGATAAAATAGTTTTACAGCAATGTTTAATTAGATCTCACAGTTTAGAGTTGTTTTAAAATTATCATCAAATTGCTACTTAAGAATTTTAAATGGTATTATATTATTTATGTAACATTGTTTTACAATATCTATGAATACTGATTTTTTTTTTAATATATTAAAAATAACGTCGATGTAGAAATTGCACTTGGCAAGATAAAATATTTTGACTTGCAATTTTTCTTGCGTATTATCTATTTAGGATAAGCATGAGCATTGCAGAAGTATGTGGAAGGATATTTATGTGTTTGTTGTTGACTCGGAGTACATTTCATTATGTATATTTGGGATGATCTAAAGTTGAGTCTAGGGTGAGATTGAGATTTCTGAAATAATGATGTTTATAAATTTGTGGATTGCAAGAGGAAATGACCGTGGTCGCCTCTTGTAAGAGTTTGAGAACAAATTATGAACTGATAATTGATCTTGGTTTTAGCTTATTATGTTTGCTTTTATGCTAATTTTCAGCGACAATCTGTATCAGCTTTTGCAGAGTAGAATCAATTGATGCTTAATTTATTTGGCTCAACAACTAAATTGATAGTAATGATTTGATTATGATGCTCATCAAATGATTAAAAAAGCATGTGGTAAAACCATTATAGAGCAAGAATAATTAGCAAATAAAAGTAGAGTAGCTGAGGTGGGGCTGTGTTGTTGATGATAAGCTTCAAATTCAATAGTCAAGCTGATGTATTCACAACAACACGAAAACGACATTAAAGGGCCAGTTAAAGCCCAGCTGCCAAGAGACGAACTGTATGTTTAACTCATTAGCCCAACTCCATCTACCAACCAGAAGTGTACAATTCAGAACAAGCCAAACCATGTACGTAAATTTGGTTCTTCAGTCTTAACCAACGAAAAATACATCACTGCTAATTTTAGAAAGTGAGACTCATCATTCTAGTATACTGTATATATACGAAAACTTATAGGCATATGTTATGCATATAACTTCTTGAGATGTCTAATACAAAAACCGCGAATTAAATTAAATCAAATCAAATTGAAATTACAAAAAACAGCATTTGCTTTGAATGTATTTGAATAATTTTTTAACAAAATTGTACGGTTTAGTTTGCGGTTTGTATTTTGTAAATTGAATCAAACAAAACCAAATTGTATTACGTTACAACTCAAACTTCACTTAGGGTCTGTTTGGTTCAATCGAGGAGAGGGGAGGGATTTTTATCAAAGGGAGGGAAGGAGAAGGGAAGGGAGGGGAGGGATTTTAATTACATATATGTTTGGTTCAAAATATGAAAGGGGAGGGGAGGGATTTTAATTACATATCTGTTTGGTTTAAAATATGAAAGGGGAGTGGAGGAGAGACATTTTATTTACAAATATGTTTGGTTCACAAGGGGAAGGAAGGTAATTTAAAACTAATTTACTTTTTTATCCTTCTACTTTTATCATAAGATTTGTGATATTTACTGTTTATAATTCAAATACAAATTTATTGACGAAATATAAATATTCAATCAGAGATCATCATGAAATATTTTACAAAAACGCAATTATTATAATATATAATTGGCTAAATTACAGTTTTGCTCCCCTTATTATTATAAACAAAAACATTACGATAACTAAAATTAACATAAAAATATGAAAAATAAATAAAAAATTTAAACAAATATAATGATAGGAAGATGAAGATATAAAAATACAACAAATATATAAAAAAAAAATTAAATTTGTTTAAAATAAAACTTTCAACATTGTTATAAGTTAAATTTATATTTAAATAAATAATAAGGCTAAATATTTAAATATAATTATAATTAAAATCAAACATCTACCTCCCATTCCCTTCTTAAAATTTGAACTAAACACATAAATTATTAAATATTTCCTCCCCTCCCCTCCATTTATCCCCAACCAAATAGACCCTTATTTACATTCAACTCAAAATTCAATCCTATTTTGCCATAGTTTTATAATTTTGAACGATTTTCTCTTACACACATTTAAGATTTCAGTTTCAACCTTCTCAAATATCTTATAATAGTATCACGCCTTCTAGTCATCTTCTTTGTCATGTACATCTCGTCTCTTCTACTCTAATTTCTCATCTCTTATGTTTTTTCTTTTCATCTTCTCATGTTTATTATACAGTTATCTATTTCAATATATTTTTATCGCACTTTTTCTTATCTAACCTCGCATCTCTTATGTTTTTTTTCATCTTCTCTAATCTCTCCTATCTTTTTTTTTATTTCAATATAATATTTTTAAAATTATTTTATGATACTTTTTATATTTTTAATTTCACTTTTGTCTATTTTAATTTGATTTTTGCATATTGAATGAGGAATAGTTGTTTAAATATGATGAGTTTTATTGTTATTTGGTAATGTATGAATGACTAAATAACAAAGTTATCTTGATTTGTATATGTGTATGTATGATTCAATAAAAATATTGTAAAAAATCAAATAAATCACATTGATTTGATTTTATTTGATTTAATTCAATTTTATTTCTAAAAATCAACTGAACGAAATAGAATTACACATTTTTTATTTATTTATAATTTTGATGATTTTTAACGTCAAAACCATACAAACTGCACAACAAACCTTCCTAAAAAATATATTTAAGTATTAAAAATCAAAATATACATTAAAAGTTTAAAGAAAATTTTTAATACCTTAGCCAGATTCAATTTTTTTATAGATATTTAAAAAATTGTATTATATTCTCTGATATTATCTAAAAATTTATTTATTAGATACATTCAATAATTAACGTAATAGATACATTACTTATTAAAGGAATTTAATAAATAATTTCTTTATAAATATAATTAAGGGAATAAAATAGTGAAATACTCTCTCTATTTTTTATTATTAGGAAAAAGTTTATATCAAATTGTAAGTCCTTTTACAACAACAATTAATAACATATATTTTTTATTTTTTATAATATACTGTTAAATATTTATTATTATTTATTTATTCAATTGTTTAAATTTATCCTTTTTAATAATATTAATAAGAAACAAACTTGTAAAATCTCTTGTAATTGTTTTTATAAAATACTTTTCTATTCTCTTTTATAAATAAATTTTAATTTTTTAAATTTATTAAATAATTAATATATCTATTCTATATTTAACACATTATTTATTCAATAAATTTTAAAAAATAAAATTTATTTATAAAAAATAAAAGAGGAAATAATAGTTACATTTTATAATACATGTAAAAAATGTAAAAACGGTTTATAATAAAAAAACAAATGCACTAAAAAAAATTGTCTGTTTTAATAATCGTCTCCTCGTTTTTTTTTTTCAAATAATTCCACCCATATAATCAAGGTTTACAAAAGCTTCCAAAATGTGTTGTAGACAAATTTCATGATGATGTACATGCACCAAAAAAGAAAATCAATAATTTTAAAATCCTACAAAATTACCACACGGCAGTGCACATTTCTCAATTTTGAGCTGTCTAAACGAACAAAAGGAAAAAGTCATAACAAAATGCCACTTTAGTTAATACTTTTAAGCCTCACATTTTACTTTAACTTTTATCCACAGTTTGCTCCTTACCATAAAAACCCAAAAAGTTAAATAATATACTACTATTATTTTATTTATAAAAAATTTACATTTTAAATTTATTTAATAACTAATATATTTAATCTAATTTCTAATAAAATAAGAGGAAGTATATAAATACTTGGAATTATAAAAGTTCCCTTAATGCTTATCTTATCTTTTTTGTTCTTACCTCCAAGTTCAAAATGAATTCTAACAAGTAGTAACGTTTAGTTAATAATGACTTTCAATTAATTTGACCTTAACTTAACCGCATTAACCACTTGATTCAATGGGCCAAGTTATCAAAACCAGGTAACGAAAGTTTTGAAAACCATAATTGTTAAGAATAACATGAATATAGAAAAGAAAAGCATAAATGAAATATAAGGTAACGCATCAACTTTCCACATAAGAAAAAGTTGAGCCAATCCATTTCTCTGATAAAAGAGTAATACAACCAAAGGTTTGTTGTCCTTAACTTATCATACACCCGACAGTCATATACAATAACTTAATTATTATTATGACTAAACAAACATTGAAAATTAGATACCCCACTTACATCACAAAATGGTGCCAAAATTCCATTTAATTAAAAAAAAACTATACCATAAAAAAGAACAATGTCATAGAGTCATTGAGTTGGATTTGAGTTACTTGATTTATAATTATCATCATTATTATAATTATAATAAAAGTAAGATGATTAGTTTGGCACATGATTAAAATGGGGTATCTATTTGGCTCTGTCTTGAATTACATCAAACCCCATCTCAGTTGGATCAGTTGCTTGAAGTTCATATGAGATTCCATCTAAAGCTCTTCTCAGCCCATCCTTTGATGTTGCGTATAGCATCTTTGCTCTTATCCTTGATGCTGTTGGTGACCTAAAAAATTCATTCCCATCTTATAATAATTGCAACTAAAATTAAATTGACGGTGAATTTGATGAAATCAGTTTATCAGCCAGATTAGTAATCTGACTGAAATTCTGACAAATTTACCGTCAATTTAAATTGTCCTTTCAATCTGATTTTGAATCAGAAGAAAGGGCATTGAGGTAAAATAATGATTGGATAAATCTAACGGTTGAGATGGATGAGAAATTAGAACTATACCATGCAATGAAGAAGATCTTGCTTTTGCGGCAGTTATCAACAGTGACAAAATCGAAATCAAAGACGGCATATCTACAATCATCGTTAGGCAAAGAAGCAGCAAGATCATCATAGTTTTCTCCAGGACCACCAACCTTATCGACGGTGACAAGCCTCGACCTTTCATCGATCTTGAAAACTATGTATCTATGTACCTTTTTCCACTTCATCTCCATGAAAGAGTTCTTGCACTCTTCAGTTACCCACATCCCAGTAGTAGCCTGTTCAGATTCATAACAATTCACAATAAACATGATGATAACAAAACTAAACTTTGACACTTTATTTACAGATTCATCAAAGATGGAGTAAACAAGTACCATTTTGAAAGCCATCGCCATTGTTATCTGCTTACTTTTTTTTCTGTCTTTATTTTTATAAAGGTTGACACAAATTTAAAGAAATGGGACTCATGTCTATTCTATATATAAATAGAGACTAGTTGAAATTGCCATCGGTTTTCCATTGTATTTACGATTTTATCCACAGTTCTAAACACTTGTTGACTTGTTGTATATTTACATTGAATTTGATTTATTTATTTACATAAATTCTTTATATTTATTTATTGTTTTTATATTATATTTATTTACTTTTAAAATTTATTTATTTTTAAATTTTTTTTTTATTCATATTAAATGTATATTGGAACAAGGTTTTAATACCGCCGTGGTTTTATTCTTAAATGGTTTGAATCTTTTAAATCAGTGGTCAAAAGTTTGACATGTGATTCATGTATATAAAAATTTATTATTATGATTATATATAGTTATTGAATTAATATTTATTTAAATATATTATTTACTATATAAAATATTGTTTGTACAATTAATCACATAGTAGATTCTACTCAATTATTTAATTATTTTTTATTTTAAAATAACCTATGTTTATTTAATTACCTAGAAAAATAAATTATGGATTAATTTAAAATAATATAATTCAATTCAAATAGATTATTTTTTAAAAAATTATTAATGAAAATTTTACTAATAATTATTTTACACCTATCTTCAAAGAGATTCAAACTCAACACTAAGAAATTACAATACTTATACTCTTACCAGTGAACTATCAACTTATTAGATGAGAGTTCTTGCATGTATACGATGGAAGAGATGAATCTCATACAAGGAAAACATCATCTCCATGCATTGCATTTTATTGATTGAATATTACATGAACGAATGCTTGGTATATATAGTGAATCATTCAGGGATCCTTATCTTAAGTAATTTTTGTTTTCATCTAACTACCTTTCTATAGTTAGTTATAGTTAGTGTAACTAACTATAATTAACTCTTAGTTATTCTCTAATACTCACTCAAATTAAAAAAAAAATGTAAGTTTATGACCTTGCGTTTGGTTCAAAATCATGTAAATAAAGTAGTAGAAAGAGACTTGGTTAACATGTATGCAATTTGCGTGTTGCCAGGAACATGTTGGATTTGCAGCTTCCATGCTCCTACATGTTTTTGAAAAAAGTGAATATCGAGTTCTATATGCTTGGTCCGAACATGTAAAACTGGATTATGGAAGAGCAAGACTGCACTTAGATTTTCGTATAGCAAAGTAAGAGCGAGGTAGTTTATATGGAGTTCTGTAAGTAGTGATTTAATTCACAATAGTTTTGAAGTCGTGTGAGCAAAGGCACTATATGCAACTTCTGTGTTGGAACGAGCTACACGTGATTGTTTCTTTGATCTCCATGCAACGAGATTAGGACCAAAATATATGCAATATACAGACGTTGATCTTCGATCGTTCGTGTCACTTGCCCAATCAGAATCACTATATCCTCATAATGGTATTTGGTTAAGTTGATCCGCAGATGAAAGTAGCATCCAATGTGCAATCATTCCACTAAGATATCAAAGAATCCTATTAACCACACTCCAATGTGACGTAAGTAGTGAAGACATGAATTTACATGCTTTTTTTCACACAAAATTCATTGGCTGGTCATGTGAGAGTTACATATTGCAATGCACCTACGATAGACCTGTACATGGATGTATACAATAACACATCTGAGCCATGTTTTTCAACTTGCAGTGACTGAACATGGGAGTTGTGACTCCATTTGTACCTGACATATTGACATTACTTAAGAGATCCTTAATGTATTTGGGTTGTGCTAGTAATAGATATCCACTTGACTGATAATGCACTTCAATCCTAAGAAATATTTTGGAATTCCAAGCTTTTTCAGAGCAAATTTATCATGTGCCTTTGTGATGGTTATAAATTTGAATATTGGAAGGACATGATATAAATTTTCTTTCTTGGTCACGATGTTTATCTATAGGATATGGCAGTCGATGGCTACGTGCACCCAGTTGACGCAAGTGGCAACAAGATCGAAAGAAGAGTGATGAAGGATCAACCAAAAAAGGATTACAGAAATCATCACAAAGCAAGAACTATCTTGCTAAATGTGATTTCATACACTGAGTATGAAAAGATAACCAACAGAGTTATTGCTAAATTTATATTTGTCTCTCTGAGGACGACACATGAAGGAAACATTCAAGTGAAGGAAACCAAGACACTTTCCTTGATTCAAAAATATGAAGCGTTCAAGATGGTAGACGATGAAACAGTTGAGAACATGTTATCAAGGTTTCAAACACTTGTTGCAGGGATTAAGGTTCTTGACAAATAGTGTTCTACTTCTGATCATGTCAAAAAGATAATCAAAAGCTTACCTAAGCATTGGAGACCTATGGTAACTGATTTAAATTTATCAAGGGATCTCAACAACACCTCTCTTGAGAAAATGGTTAGCTCCTTAAGAATTCGTGAGATTGAGCTTGAAGCTGATGAGCTTTAGAGAAAGAGAAAATTTGTTGATCTGAAATCTTCTGAAATATTTGAAAAGAAAAAAGCTTTTCAGGATGATACTGATAAGGAGTCAGAAGAAGAATAAGAAAAAGAAGATGAACTGTATCTCCTTTCCAGACGCGTGAATCAACTCTGGAAGAAAAGGCAAGGCAAGTTCAGAGGACAAAGAAGGACAAATGGTCGTTCTGAGTCTACTTATGGATTTAAGAAAGCTGGAGCTAGCAAAGATGTCATATACTACAAATGCAAGGATCCAGGTCATTATAAGAATGATTGCCCCAAGCTAAAGAATGACAGACCCAAAAAGAAAGACTTACGAGGGAAGAAGAAGGGTCTTATGGATACCTGAGATGATTCAAAAGAGGAGTAAGAGAATGTGGCTCTGATGGCATGCATATAAGTTCCTACTAGAACCAGTCAATCAGAATCAGAATCTGAGTCAGATTCTGAAGAGGTATTTTTTGAACTCTCTCGTTCTGAACTTGAGTCCAGTTTATCTGAAGTTTTGGAAAAATATCAAAACTTTCTAGACAAACCTAAGGATCTGAGAAAGGTTCATGTATCTGAGTCAGAGACCCTCTGTAAGCTTTATAAAATTTCTCAAGATTAAGTGAAGAAAACCTTATTTTGAAAAACAACTCTGTACCCTCTAGCAAGAGTCAACCTGAGAAAATCACTTTTAAAGCTCCTACAGGTTCTGGTGACATCATATAGAGTTATGATAAATCTTTCCAAAAGTTCCTTGCTAGAAGCCTGAGTAGAAGCTTAATGGCTTCAATGATTTATGGCGTCAGCAGGAACGAGATAAGAGGTATTGGCTATGATTTTGATGAAGAATCTGATTTTGAAAAGGATAGTAAGCTCAATACTCTCGAATCTCATTTTGTTCCCTCTGGGAAACAAAGTGATGTTAGGCCTAAAGGTAAAGCGGTTGCATAACCTAAGGCTAAAATAAATGCTCATGCCCGTTTCAATCATGCATTCATGTATAAATATCCTAAACCAAAACCTAAAGTTGTAAAAGGCTCTGGGAAGACTAACCTTAAAGTACCCAAAAATATGTGGGTACCTAAGGATAAAATAGTTTATGTTGTAGATATCCTTAGTAGCGGAGTTAAAACACCAATCATGGTACCTAGACCTTGGATGCTCGCAACACATGATGAGAAGAAGGAATATGTTCCGAGACCTGGAACTTAATGTTACACCCCAAATTTTGACCCCTTAGATCCTCGTCATCATTTTAGGATCATATTCAGTTGATTAACTAACCTTAACCCATTTCAAGTTATCTTTGTTAAGATGCAGAGGAATCAGGGTTCCGTACCGTCAAAATCGAGACTTCAGTGGTCTGATCAATCAATGTTTTGGATTGATTCAACCTCAATTAGGTCTCCACATCAACAAATATACTCCATTGGATCAAGTATGAATTCAATTTGAGGTGGTCACCCGGGAATTGAGAACAGTGCAATTCCAGATACCCGATTAGGGTTTTCGATCAGGAAAAGTCAACTGTAGTTTAACTTTTGATTTAAAGAGTGTTTCAATGGTGGTATCTTGGTCCATTAAGTTCCTATGGCTTAGTAAAGTCCATCCAAAGATTTTCAAGGCCTCAAAAGATCCAGAGCATGAACAGACGGTCCGGTAGTCACCGATTGATCGAACGGTTGACCGAAAAGTCAACTCTTTAACAATAAGGAATTTGACTTAAAGATGTGAATAAAAAATGTTCCTTATGTCATATTAAACCTCCCCATAAAATTTCATGACCATTGGATCAAGGGTTAAGAAGTAATTGCAAAAATCGGGAATTAGGGTTTCAAAAGGGGCAAGACCATAACTCCTCAACCACACATCCAAATGAAGTGGTTCAAAGCTCATTAGAAAGCTCATGACAAGTCCTACAAAAGCCTCAAAGTGGTCCATGATCAAAAAATGCATAAATTTGGAGTTATGACAAGATTCATTTTAAGAAGGGAAATAACTTAGAAAAATTCTGTTATTTAGCTTTTTTAAGTGATTTTTTCAGCAACTTGGAAGGGTTTTTCAACCTAGTTCCATCTAGAATTTGGAAATCTCCAAAACATTAAAGTTATAGAGCTACTTAAGGGCTTTCTAAATTGTGGTAGAACTCCTCAATAGCATGTGTGAGCAGAAAGTTATCAACCATGGAAGTTAGGGTTGCCAACACTTGAAGCCACTATGTCAAACCTCTCAAAATTCAGATTTTCACAACTTGGGCTACCCTCAGCCATTGCATCTTGCTCCTTTATGATATTATGAAGGTTGGATGATGCAAACACCAGAAAAAATGAGAAATTGGAAGGCTTGTGCAACTTGGAACAAGTGGATATTAAAATAATCATTTAAAAGCATGAAAGAGAAACTTTTCAAGCAAGTTGCAGTCCCCTACCTTTTAGCCTCATTTAAGTCATCCCATCCTTCCCATCTCACTTGAATTTGGCTTAGCAATTGTCCATGGAACTGATGTTTA